CCTGGCTTAGAATTTCATTTTGTCTCTGTCCCTTTCTAGCTGGGTGATCTGCCTGAACCACACTCTATAAAGTGAAGATAATAATTATACTACCTTGTCAGGTTCCAAGGGTAAAGAGGATACACAAATGAAGTACTTATCCCATAGAAGCGCTCTATAAATGTCACCCATCATGATGATGGTGATGATTACCTTCTTTTTTACAGTAGGGATATTGGGGGGGGTTGTTTTTTTTCGAGACAAGGTCTCACTATCCAGTTCAGGCTAGCCTTGAACTCACAGCAATCTTTCTGCCTCAGCCTCCCATGCTGGGATTACAGGCGTAGGCCACCACGCCCCGCTACAGTAGGGAAATTAAGCAACTCTTCAGTTTGCCTCAACTCAAACTCGCAGCCTCAGGAGGCTGTCTCCTTTACCGCATGACTTTAAGGTGGTATTTGCCTGGCTTTTGACTCCTACCCAAATCCACTCAAGGAGGCCAGAGTGAGGGCCGTGAAGGGGGAACCTTGGGGGTGCGCAAGTGACCCCGAACGCTGAACTGTGCGGAGCGAAGGTGACCGCCCGCCATCGGCGCCAGGATCTGACAAGGAGGAGGGCGCCCGTCCCTCAGGTGGCCCGTGTGGCCCAAGGCTCTCGGGGCCTGGACGCAGCCACTGAAGTCGCACAGTTAGGGCGATTTCCTGACAGGCGGCACTGTTCCCGGGCAGCCACAGCCAAAGCAACCTTTACTACACCGCGGGGACACGTGGCAGAGGAAGGGGGTCCTTGGCGGTCTGCGCGTTTCTTCTTTGGGGCATTTCTCTTGACGCCTGGCTTCCCACGTGAGCGCTTAGGATTTCCGGCAACTTTATGAGCAGCACCTTTTCCTGGGCCATGCCCCTTGCTTTTTCTGAACTAATAGGACAGCCTCCCAGATGCTCAAGTTGGACGCAAACAAGACTGTGGCTTTCAGTGACAAATACCACAGGAGACTCATTTTGCAGCGTTACACAATTTTGATTTTTTTTAAAATTTTTTTTATTTTTTATTTTTTGTCTTTTTGAGACAAGGTCTCATTATGCAGTTCAGGCTGGCCTTGAGCTCACTTTGTAGCCCAGTCTGGTCTCGAACTCGCAACAATCCTCCTCCCTCAGCCTCCCGAGTGCTGGGATTACAGGCGTGCGCCACCACGCCCGGCTTCCAGAATTTTGAATTTAGAGCTGGCAGCTGCCTTCTGTTTCTCTGCCCCGAAAGCACACAGGCCCCATTCCTGCTTCGCTTTGGCCTTGGGGCTCCTCTTCCTGAATTACGTTTGTCAATTAGCTTGGTTGCTACGAGGCCCCAGGAGCGGTCTTCCTCTTTCACTCAAATTTCCTTCTCCCAGGCGTCCCAGAACTGTGTTGCACACTCTGCAAGACAAAGGACAAAAAGACCGCGGAGCGGAGCGGAGCAGCGAGCGCAGCCGCGACTTCACCGGGTTCCAGGACGCAGTGAAATCCGACTCCTCCCCCGGGCGGGCGGGAGAGCGCTCGCAGCCCCTGCACACACACTTCCACCCGCTTCTTTGCAAGGGCACACTTTGTGCGGATGCCAGCGGCTTCCCTTTTGCACACAAAGACACACACAGATACACACACACACACACACACACACACACACACACACACAGAGCAGGCAGCTGCACCTCGGTCATCAGCGAGAGTCCAAGATGAAAGGAGCGGAAGAGGAGGATCAGGACGATGGGACGCTGCGGGGTGATCTGGGGGCCGGTCCCCTGGGGGGCAACCACTCCTGCCCCCCCCCCGCGCCTCTCTTTCCCTGTCTCCCGCTCAAGCTGGAGGCGCAGGAAAGGGGCTGGAGAGGTTAGGGGCGCAGCGCAGTGGTAAATGTGCTGGCCTGAGTTTGATTCCCAGCACTGGAAAAAAAACTGCAAGAAGGCGCGTGTGTGAAGGCGCATGTGTCCTTAATACGTTTGTAATAGGGTAATAATATGGTTTTAAACCCTCATTTAAAAATAAAGTTAATTCGATCAATTCTTCTTTGGCTTCAGGCAACTTGAGGGCCGGGGTGGAGTCACAGGAGATGCACGCAGTAAGGGTGAGAGTGTCTGAGCAGAGATGCTCAGAGACAGTGTTCAGGGCGCTGCACGGCGTAGCGGCAAAGACAAAGGGCACCTAAAAGGCTGGCAAAGAGGACACGTGAAGCACATCGATAAGTATCCCAGCCCGGCGCAGTGGCGCACACCTGTCATTCCAGCATTCTGGAGGCTGAGGCAGGAGGATTGCCGGGAGTTCAAGGCCCATCTGGGCTACAAAGTGAGTTCAAGGCCCGGCTGAACTACATAGAAAGACGCTGCCTAAAAAGGGGGCGGGGGGAAGGAGAAGGAGAAGGAGGAGCAGCAGCAACATCCCAGAAAATACTACATATACCACTATTTAAAATGTCCCGTTCTCTGAGACACTTAAGTAGAAAACACAAAGTCAAGAATACGGGTGTAGCCAGGCATGGTGGCGCACGCCTGTAATCCCAGCACTGGGGAGGCTGAGGCAGAAGGATCGCTGCGAGTTCGAGGCCAGTTTAGGCTACAAAGTGAGCTTAAGACCAGCCTGAACTGTATAGCGAGACCTTGTCTCAAAAAGAAAAAAAAAAAAAAAAAAAAAAAAAAATTCATGGGGAAGAGGTTCTCCCAGATTTACAGCTAATTTTCAAAAAATGCATAAACTGAAGAACGCATGCGATGGCCATTTTAATTGCATACACCAAGGATACACTTTAAAACAGCGTAAAGGTATGTATGCATGCATATTCATGAGAAATACGTATTATGCTTATTTATGCATATTTATGTTACAGAGCTGTGTCTCGCAGTGAGATCCCGAGTTTAAGGCGCTAGGCACAAAGAGTGAGGCACTTCAGCCCTTTTACCTTACGTTTTATACTGTTTCAACTTGTTAAAGAGGTGGTTGTGTCACTTCTTTTCTTAAATGCTTAAAACTAAAACAGGAGCGTGGTGGCGCACACTCGTCATCCCAGCACTCGGGGGGCTGAGGCAGGACGATCGCCGTGAGTTAAGAGTCCACCCTGGGCTACATAGCGAAACCTCCGTTTCAACCTCCCAACCCCAAAGGAAGAGAGAGAAAATAAGAAACAGGAAATGCTCCAATGCGGCGTCCCAACAGGTGAGGAGCGCGCGCCGTCTCCGCAGCGCAGTGGAGCCGCCGGGAGCCCGGGGAACCCTGCGTGGGGCGCGGCGCAGCGCCTCCCTTCCCCAGCCCTGCGCTCCCGGGCTCCGGAATCGGGGTCGCCCGGGGGCGGCTCCGTGCAGCTCGGCGCCAGCACGGGGCCCCAGCACGTCGGGAGATGGGGCGCGGTCCCCGCTTTCCAACCCGGCCCGGCGCGGGGGCTGCGAGTTCCCCGCGGTGCCCGCGGCCACGGAGATCGCAGCGCCGGACGGCGTCCCACCCGGCCGCCCCGCTCCCGGGAGACCGCGCCGTCCCCTGCCACCGCCTCGGGCGTGCGTAGGATCGTGCCGGAAGGGTCAAAATAAGGCTCCAGTGAGACGGCTTGAAGAGTCCCGCCAGGCGAGGTGGCGCGCGCCTGCCATCCCAGCGCTTGGGAGGCTGAGGCAGGAGGCTCGCTGGGAGTTGGAGGCCAGCCTGGGCTACACAGCGAGACCCTGTCTCCAAAAAACCAAGAAGCCCCGCCGAGCTCAGGATCCTTCTCCCACTCCGCGGGCGCCCGGGCCGCGCTCGGCCGTCGCAGTCAGCGCGTCTTCGCGGAGGCGCGGGGTCTGCGCGCCGCACTCAGCTCTCCCAGAAGCCCGGCCGTGACAGCCGCGGCTCAGAGACCGGGCTAGCGGCTCCTCCGGAGCCGGGCCGCGGCGGCGCTGCCGGGCGTCTGTGGGCGGCCTCGGGTGCCCGCCCGTGCGGAGAGACAGCGGGAAGCACGGTCGGAGAGAACGGAGAGGAAAGCAAGGGGGCGCGGCGGGCGCGGGCTGCTTGTCCGCGTTGACGGACGGCGGACGCCGCGTCTCCACGGCAACGGGTGACGTCATCCCCGCGCGCCCCCCCGACCGGCAGCGGCCTCCGCCTTCCCCGAGCGGCCCGGAGTTTCTCTCCGTCCGAGGAGCGGGCTCTGGGCCCGGCTCTGGGGCGGGAGCGACACGCACGGGCCGACAGCGCGCCCGAGACGCCGACGCGCGTCGCCCCTCGCTGACAGCTGTGGCGATTGGGTTTATGGTTTTGCTTGTAAA